ACCAAGAAATACAAATTTCAGAAATAAGCTCATTTCTGTGTATTGATAAGCCCATACCAGCATGTTCTGCTTTTTCCTGTCCTTACATATAGGCAGAGTGATTTCTGGGAAGTGTCCCAAGCACCGTGGGAAGAGTTCAAGGTCTGAGGCCCACTGTAAGGTTGTCAGACACAGTCCCCACCAGCTGTTGTATGGGTACACTCAGTTGAAGAAAGAAACACGTGATCATATGATTGCTCTAATTTAAAAAGAATTGTTTCCCCTTCCTGGATGTTTGAGAACACACGCTGACCTGCCATTACCTGTTTGTCCTTCTTCTTGTAGGCAAGCTTATACGTAAAAATGCTTCAGCTCACTTACTAATTTACGACATAACATGCTGTCCAGCCCACAAATGTCATCCCAAGTGAAGAAGCAGGGTTGTCTGCCTGCTATTCACAGACAACACCTGCTACTGCAGAGCTCTATAGTGTACAGGTCAGCTCTGCCAACCTTACTTCCGTGGGCAACAAATGACCATCTTGCTGCATGGACTGCCAAACCCATGGGAAAAAATGCTGTCATGCTAAGTTATGCCTCCACATTAGCTATGTATCTCACTGCAAGTGCACAGAGCCACTGCACATGTAAAATGCTCTCAGTGCAGCCCACAGCTTCTGGTCCTGATACACACTTTGGAGTTCAGAAGGTGCAGCTTATAATACACACGGTACTGCTGGTCTGAAGGCATCTCTAAAGGACAGCAGTTATTCTTCCAAGGAGCTGGCACTCAGCACACCCTCCAATCCCTTCCTACAGCATACCCAAAAGTCTCTTCTTCCTCTCCTCCTTTGATCTAAAAATCCAAGGATTGCCTTGTTTAGAGGGTGTTTAGCTTTGCAATAGAGAAAAGTTTGGCTAAACCCATAGTTCCACAGATATTAGTATCAGCTTGGGGCACTGCTATTGCAATTATGCCTCTGACTCAGATAAATTGGGGCACAGAGCTGCCATTCTACTGAACATACCTGGGTGTTTCCCAGACCTGTGCAACTGCAGATGGTGCCTGATGAGGCATGAAGCCTGCTAGGAAAGTTTCCTCTATCAAAAAGAAAAGAAAAGCACCATGAACGTGAACCTGTAGGACAAGTGTGCATGTTCTGTGCCACACGGCCACAAAGTTTTTAATCTAATTACCTAGTACATAAGATGTACTACCATGTGGAATAAGTCTGGTACCCAAGGGGAGCTTGGACACCACACTTCTAAATCTGCACCCCAAAATGGAAGAATCCTTTTTCATGCTCTAGACCAGTAAATTTCAGCCACTCCCTGCTGCCCCGTAGAGGTCTCTGCATTCTGTTGTGGAGATTACTAAAGGTCACTCAAACACAAGCCTGCTGTTAGTGCACATGAATTTTTGCAATACAGAATTCTAAATTTACATTCTAAATGTAAAACTTTGAGGAAGACATAACTTTTTTTTTTTTTTAAGAAAAAAAGCTTATGAACAGCTCTATGAGACTTTCTCTTCACTTTTCAACTCCTCCTCCTTGATTCTACCACCCAAACAAAAAGATGCTCTGAAAATGGTTGCAGTCCCTTTTCACTGGCACCCTGATCACATAAGGTGTCTCCAGCGTGTCTCCTGGAATCTTGTAAAATACCTAGGATATCTGTCCAGCTTAAATGATCTCCTTTGTTTCAGCTTGTGTACACTGACATGTCATTAGGACTCCTACGATTTTAGAGTTGCCATGAAGCCATGTTCCACAATGTAATTTATTTTAACATGCAGCCAGCTGTGGCAGAGCTGCTTGAGGATTTCAAGTTTGAAGTGAGTCAGGACAGTGAGCAACACATGAAAGTCAAAAAGGCCAGAGAAGAGAAGATAAAAGTTATACCTATTTACAATAGATCTGGCTTTTGTTTGCCTTGATGTGATTTTACCTTCATAAAAGAGCATGAATTTCAAGAAAGGGAAGCAGAATCACAACCTAGAAACTATATGGAAATTGTTAAAATCAAGGCAGCAGAAAAATGTTTAGAGTAAAGCTGATAGGCAGAGTAGGTAAAGCTGAAGGGTAATGGCAAATTCAGGCTAAATGTCAAGAAATCCTATTTAAAAATAGGACTTCTTAGCAATACTGGTAAATGCAATAAAAACATTAAGAAATTGCCACTTCATTATTTGAAGAGTGGTCCTATCCTGAAGTTTTTTAAAAACACTTGATTCAAAGTGTGTCCCACTCAAAGAAACTTGTGTCTTTCATGACAGAGGTCCCCAAGAACGCCAGGAGCAATTAAATGGGATGTTTAGCTTACAGTGTAACTGAAAGACTCTGCTCTTTGTACATCTTTTTCCCTGAACCGCATTTTCTCATTCTCTAATGTTTTACCTTTAGCCTTCTCCATATTTCCTACCATCTCTGCCTCCACTTCAGATCTCCTTAGCAGAATGCAAGCAGAACGGTGTAAGATGAATTTCAAACTGCTCAGATTCATACACATTCCTTGTTTGCCAAACTTTTGCCAAAGACCCATGCAAAAACATGTACAAACTAGACCTATGGCATCAAAAAGTAACACTGACGTTTCAAGAAGGTCATGATCATTCTTGTTTCTCCCTAGAGCTACACTGAGATGCACAAAGGCATGAGCAAAGATGATGTTAAGTCTAATTAGGTGGATGGATATCCCTAAAGGGTTAAGTCTTTCAGTAGAGCATCACTCTGATTAAGCAGAGTTTACTGTCTCCAGAGGATGCCTGAATTAAAGCCTGAGCTGTTCTTAATCTTACAGAGCAGCCAGAGGGAAGCATTTCCCCATACATGGCCTAGAGGAATACTGCAATTAACTCTAGAGACATACCTGCTCTAAGGTTGTAGTCCTCTTCCCCCCATCCCTGCCACATCCTCACAGTGCATGTTACCAGAATAACATCACACGTTGTTCCTGCAACCCACTTCCCATGTTAACAGGCCTTCGGTTCAGTTACTGACTTCAAAAGCCAAGTCTTCCCAAAACAAAGGTGATGACTTGAACATAATTATCTTCAGAACTTCTGGTATATGGGAAGCTGTAAGGAAGTATAAGATATGGCATGCTGTTTGGCATTGTTTTAATTGTGAGTATCAATATTCTGAAGCCAGCAGACAAATCCGGCAGGCAAAAGGTTGAATACAGTTTCTGACAAACTGGGATTCCAAGAACCTTCCCAGAAGGCTTAACCTCATTTTTTTAAAGCAAGAGCCCCAGAACGACTGCAAATAAACTGTGGGAACTTGGTAATAATTTCCCAGGGTCTTCCCACGATGTGCAGATAATTGTTGACCCAGTGGCAGGCATCTTGTTTTACATGTTCAGTTCCCCAGCATCTCCACCTGATCTCTGCTCTGAAACTCTGTTCACATCCACTGCAGTGGCCATAGAAGAGACTGGAAAATGTTTAAACTATTGGTTATTTGCGTTTAACATCTTGTGTCCACAAAGTAAGACACGCAAAAAGGGGAGGAAAAAAGGACACACAGAGTCTTCTAAGAGTATACCCTTACCTGCCATCAGACAACTCTGAAGGCAAACTTCTCTGCCTCAAAGCAAAATGAGATCAGCACTAGACAAATAATGACTTCAGATGCTGAATCAATTAACAAGAACAAAAGGGAACAACATCAGATAATAAAAAGTAAGGGAGTATTTTGTTATAGAAGTCTTTACTGGACTTCTATAATCCTCTTTCTCCTTGTTAATGGACTAAGCAAAATACCTGGCACTTGGGACTTGTGCCCAGAGCTGGCTCCACTCAAATTCTGAAATGTGGATCACCAGGAACTGCTGGGCAGTTTGTTTCCTAAGAAACATCTGCTTTCCAGAGTAGAGGAATGTGACTAATACAGTTGTGCCTTAAGGGCAAACATGCCCTCTTTACAGAAGGGCTGAGCAGTTGATGTTTCAGAAGGGATTCCCAAGGGGAGATCCAATAATCTTGGCTCCAGTTTTTGCTTCTGGGCAAACATGGGGTTCAGTGCATGTGTTTAATAACCATTGTGTGTGTTTGCACACATGCAGATCATGCAAAACCTGTTTCTTAGATAGGATACTCCAGGCCAGAACTGATTTGTGAATCCAGGTTAACTCAAGCAAAACTGTAGTATGTCATTAAAGCCAGTTCCTCACCATAACCACCAGGTTTCAGCTGCAGATAGTGGTCCGTGGTGACATTCTCCAGGGCACGCATTTTCCTTGCACTAAATCCTTTGAAAGGTTCTGCCAAAAGCTGCATGCTTTCCCAAGTATGAAGATAGAGAACCATGATGTTGAATTTTAACATCAAAATTGTCTAGTGGTCCTTTCTTATACCTCGCTCACACTGAACTGCAGCTTGGAAACAAGCACAGGCTCACTTAGAACGTGCTGGAGTTTAAGAGGTTGCTGAAGCCCCTTTGCTAGTGCTGACTAACCCATCACATGTACTATCCCCACACAGCAACTTGGCAAATTCCTTTTCAGCACTCCAAAAGGAGGATAGATGTAGCTTCAACAGCAAGAAGCAAATGTGAGCAAGGTATAAGGAAGGATATGCTTGGAATGCTCACTTCCTTCTCTCCATTACCATACAGATAGTACATGAAAGGCAAATTCCACATTCAACTGCAGAAGTGTCAAAAGCAACACCCCTGAGGCACACAAAGGGGATGACTGGAGGACAGCCTACAAGCAGTGATTTCAAATGGTCACACAACAACCCGTAAGAACCAGAAACAGCAGGGCTGAGACTAAAGGGAAAACAGGGAAAGAAATTACTGGGAAGTTTATATGTATTTGTCCAGAAGCTAAGAAAGAGAAAACTATTCAAAAGTGAGGACAAGGTAGATTATGGCAAGCTCTCTGCCCAGAAACCAGTGGGAACAGGGAAATCATTCTGAACTGCCTGTATGTTCAGCTATGGCATCTTGAGCATCTGCAGACGCACAGGAGTCACACACACTGTGGCTTAGAAAGATTTCTGCAGTGGTCTGCATCAAGGGTAATGTGTACCCAGGGGTAATGTGTACCCAACATACTCTGGTGTTCCACTTACAAGCAGTAACGAGCAGAATAATCCCTTCTGTCTTCATTTCATTTCTTATTTTTCTAGAATATATTGTTGAAGTCATGGGCTGAGTACAGGGAGACAGGTCATGGGATTTTCACTTGCTAAAAAGTGGTAAAAGATCAATGAGCCATGGAATTCAACAACAAACATTGTTTTTCTGTAGATCCCACTTATGGTAATGAGCTAACAGCCTGGTCTTGCCAGTGCACTGGGTTGGGAGTTCCTCTGAATACTACCCTCCCTACAACCAGCTGGTAAAAAGTTTGCAGCACGTCTTGAAACTGCTTTGGGGGCCATGCTGTGGAAGATTTAACTTATTTATAGCATGAGCCCTTCCAATAGGATGTGCAATCAAGTTTGTTAGCCTCTGATTCAAATTTTCTGTGCTGTCAAAAGAAGGTATAACCCAGGAGCCTGCTAAAGGATCTTGTTCTGTTTGAGCCTTTGGGCTTAGAATGTCGATTTACATTGGTGTGACAGTTTTGCTTCATTTCAGGATGACTAGGCTCACCAGAAAAAAAAAAGTAATGAAACAAAACAAACTTAAAAGCAAAGGCATTCCTACGTCTTGATCATCGTGAAAGTCTAAAAGCATTTTTTTTTTAGATAAATGTGGGATTATTTTTCATGGCTCTGAATGGAGTACTTTGACTGCAAACTTCAACATAGCTTGTCTGTGTAATCTGAAATACTAGCCATTAAGAAGTCACCTTCATTAATAAATATTAGACTGAAGAAGAAAATACTGGTTTAAACAATGGTTTTTTGAACTGCTGAAAGACCTGGGGTCCTATAGGGATGCAATCTTCCTGGCTAGACAATAAAGGTTTGGTCTGAGAAACTGGACTCCTACTGCACTGGTAAGTAGCAGGCAGATATTGCTGTCAAATGCACCTCTCTCCTACTGTAAAATAGGTTCTAACAATGATTCTAACAATGCACACACTCTGGACTAACTGAAAGTGAAGATTGTCTAAGGCACTTTCTTTTCAGCTTTGAAAAATATTTCCACTTAGCAGTGTAAATTCTGGCACAAAAGAGCTTTGCAGTAGCATTCTCCAGGTATCTGTAAACCAATCCGCTTCTGTCGATGTCATTCAGAAATGCTCCACAATATGAGCTGAGGAATATTCATCTTGATAGAACGGTAATTCTAAATTCTGCAATACACTATCATTTAGGATAGCACTAATGACTTCTGGTGATTGTGTGGACAGAGAACATAAAACCCAGAGCCGTCAGGGTTAAACTGAAATAGATACCATTATCTGAGCACTGCCTTCTCTCTGAACTCTGCTCATACTGAGAGATGCTGTGTATCAGCTATGGAAACCTCTGAAGTATTTTCTATTGATATTGAGATATTCTGTTACAGAGAACAAAGGGAAGATAATCTGCACTGTCTCTGGTCACAAGGAAGCCCACCTCAGAGTTAAGTATCTATGGAATACTTGGGGTACCACAGGCAGCTTTAGGATCCACTTTGAAAACCATCTTAAATTAATCTCAGGTTGTACTGTTGCTGAATTTATAGAACCAGCCTTTTCAACACGGCGATGGTCTTAGATAACCCACATCTAATAATCAAAATATACCTGCAGAGAACATTTGTGGAAAACACAGGCTGTCTTGCTCAGATGGTCTGCCAAGAGCTTGCCCTCCCTGCAGAGATGCATAACCAGTGAATTTACTTGATCTCTGATGTTCAAATTTCAAAACACATTAGCTTACTAACTTAAATAGTTTCATTACCCTTGCTTGCTTAAGGCTATTAGATAGTCCAGGCACAAAATTCTTTTTTCTTCCACAAAGCCAACTGTATTCTGGGCTGCACCAAAAGAAGCATGCCCAGCAGGTCAAGGGAGGTGATTCTCCTGCTCTGCTCCACTTCCAGGAAACCCCACCTGGAGTGCTGCATCCATCTCTTGTACCCTCAACATAATGAGGATGTGAACCTCTTGCAGTGAGGCCAGTGGAGGCCACAGAGATGAACGGGGCGGGGAGGGGGGTGTTGAATACCTCTCCTATGAAGACACGCTAAGAGAGATGGGGTTGTTCAGCTTGGAAAGGAGAAGGCTCCAGGGAGACCTTAGAGCACTTTCCAATACCTAAAGGGGGCTACAAGAGAGCTGGAGACGGCCTTTTGACAAGGACATGGAGTGATAGCACAAGGGGGAAAGGCTTTAAACTGACAGAGGGCAGATTTAGACTAGATATTAAGAAGAAATTATTTATGGTGAGGGTCGTGAGACACTGGAACAGGGCCAAATTTTAAACTGAAAGAGATTTTGACTGGATGTAAGGAATAAATTTTTATCATGAGGGCCAAGTGTAAATGTTTCTTGGGATTACAAGGAAGCAGTAGCTTCAGAAGCTTGGTTTTGAGAAAGTAAAAAATCAGCAGTATTAACTCCATGCCAGCAGAGGGAAACAGAGCCTCAAGAAAACTAAATAACCCTCGTACAGATGTTTTTCACCCATCATATCCACTGAAATGGACTGTTTTAGCCACGGATAAATTAGATCCATTGAGATGTCGTAGGATATGTCATCTTGTTTCCTATATTTATTATGTACACTGACAGAAATAAGTAGAAGTGATCTCTGCCTTGAGGTGGATCTGCTAATATATGATTCAGACATCTGGAGTGTAATTTTTTCCAAGTTAATAAGTGTTTCCTACTCTCCGTTAAGTTATTAGGTCCAAAGTGCACTTGGTAAAATATGATCCAAATCCAGCACAGTCAGAAGGGACTTATGGATGTTGGAATTCACATCTTTCACCTTGGAAGGTATCATTCGAACACCAGTCATTGCAGCACTAGGTGCTTGTGACAAAACATGACCGGTGAGGTGGAAGAGCACTTCACACAGACAGACTGGTGGTAATAACAAACAGTGATGACCCAACACACTTACTGTGCAAAAGACAAATGTAGGTTTAGGCTAGGTTTTATCAAAAGCTCAGTGTTGGGGAGCATTGTTGCCTTGAGGAGGTGCTTCCAAAACACTGGCAGGGTTTCCAAAACTAATGGGGAAGACAGGAATTGTACAAAAAGGATCAGATTGCATATGAGCATGAATTTCACCTCTCAAAGCCGTTCACCATTCTGGGATCATAACATCTGCTTCCATATTCCTCCAAACCAGTTTGCTTCTCATACTCACTGTTCTAGCTCCTAAGGGTTACATCTGTTAAAGGATACTTATGAAAATATGTAATTAAAAGATGCTGAACTCCAGGTAACCAAAGCAACACACCTGTTTGCCTGCTCTACACAAACAAAACAAGACACCACTGTGTGTTCCACTCCAAAGGACTCAGGATGTAGTGATATTAAACACAAACCATTTGGGCTAAGGGAAAGAGATGGAAATTTAATTAAAGGATGATGTCTATGACTAGCAATTTTGCAAGATTTGCATGCCTTGAGAACACATTCTTTTTCTTCCCCTTCCCCACGCTCAAAGTCAGCTACTGCTTCATGTTAGAAGTTTTGAGCTCCTTCTTTTTCCTCTGACGTCAGGAGGTACTGACAAAACCAAGCACTTCAAAAAATTTCCCGCAGAGCATCATTAATGTATTCCCCTTATACTGTACTCCTGCCCAACCCACATGGAAGAGCTTGCTGCCACTGAACACAGAGACCTGATGTGACTTTGTGAGTTTTGGTCATTGAAAGTGGGTCTGCACAGGGTCCTCAATGCCAAATTCCTGTGACTATATCCTCATTTTTGTTGCTGGCATCTTCAGCTGCATGTAGTTCACTGGGAGCTCCCTGTGCGACAAAGAAAACTGTGCACCTGAGCCTGGGAAGGTAGGTCACTGCTGCCCTTCCTGTCAGTTCCCAGGATGTAACATCAGCTGTTTAAGAAGAGACATCCTTAGCTTCTACCTGCAAATGTGGTGTGACTCTGGTAGTAATTCCGTGTATGAGGTTGATAAACAGGACACATGCAAAGAAAAGTAGTCAGACAACAGACAGAACCTTGGTATTTTTAGCAGCTTTCCATAGAACAGACTCTACAGCATGATGGATTGCTGTCACTGCATCACAGATGAGTTACACCTAGTAATTACTGACATGCTGTTTCCCTATGTCCTTTCACCTTGTCATCTGCTTTGGCTATATTCTTTCCAGAGCAAGCTCATCTTTTTGTACAGTCTACAGTAACACACATTCAACGCTGCTTTCATCTCAATAAGTAACCAAACTTCCAAGGAAACAAAGCGAACTCAGGCGGTGTAAAAACGAGAAGGGGCTCCATACCAGCGATGATGCAAAACAGTATGGCACAAAGGGACGTTAACCTCAGCCAATGAAACTGAGGAGAAAAACGTAATTCCATTTCCCCTCCCCACTCTTTCAGGCAAGGTGACAGACATACGGATTTCTTAAAAACAAAGGCCGACCTTGTGAGAGGCACCACAAGGCCTTGGCTCAGTTGCAGAAAAGAAACTGACAACAGTTAAAAACTGTCAACCTTGGAAATTCAATCAAAAGTCATATACCAATGCACATTATGCTAACTGGTGTCTCAATAGAGCAATGGGACGAATAGAGTTTAGAGAAAAAAAACCCTTTACAAACCCCTCTTACCCTTCTGCTACTATACCAAGCAGTCAGCTGCATCTAACTAAAGCCATACTCCTTTAACATCTCTCGTCCAAACAAAGTGACTTCATGTGACAGCTGATGAAATCAACCACTGGTGTTATAATGGAAAGTTACACACACATCCCCAACAAAATCTGGAAATTTAGATACTGAAAATACTCTTTCTTTCCATCCCCTACTGGGCCTCCTCTCCCTTTTCAGAGGTTGCTTGTTCCAGAGCAAAGTCTCATAACTAGGCTGCAATTCTGCATTTCCATTCACTGCTCACAAGTTCAGCTGTTTTCAAAATACATGAGCTATTACTAAGAGTGGGCTAAGATGAAAGATCACTAATCCAAGCCACGAAAGTATTCAGGCTGCAGAGAATGCTTTGAATGATTTTGAGAGTACTTCTACCCTCAGTCTTACCTTGCAAATAGGACCACAGAAAGATGTGTGCTGGGATGTTACGGACAAGATTAAGCAGGTATTCTTCCCTGTAACTCAGCACTGCCCACAAGGCTGGAAAGAATGGACCAGAAAACTGCGGAGGTTGTTTCTTTATTTCTCCAAAAGCCCAAGTTCTCCACCCTGCCTCACCCCCACCACAGATATGACCTCTGGTCCATTAGTGACATCGCAGCTGTAAGGGACTCTGTCCCTTCCTCCCCTGCTTCCTCCTGTCACAATTTCATATTGTTACAGAGACAAGCACTGTTACTGCTAGGCTGTTGAACATGGATGGATATGAGGGATGCTAGAAAGCAGCATCCCATTCTTTTCTCTTAGAAGAACATCACTATATCCCTCTGTATGCTTTCGTCCTGAATCCTGGGGGCTGTAGGGAAGAAGTAGGTATATCACAGACAGCTCTGGTAGCTGCTATATGGTCTCTCTAGGAAGGAAAAGAGAGACAGAATCAGAAAGAAGATTTAGAAAGAAAACAGAATTTTTTAATTAAAATGCGGAAGAAAAATATGGAGCAGTTGTAACTCCATCTCTGACAGAAACTCTCCCTACTGTGTTTAACATGATTTTGGAGCCCAGTCTTACTCAACTCCCGTCCATAAACTGGGATAGTAGATCCAAAGCAGACCAGGGTAAACATGCAGGAGACCAAGGAGCTCGGCTGAATCTCAGTACCAGGCATTTGCAAAGTGAGAAAGAGTAGAGCAGTACTGACACAGTGATCACTGATCTCCCCAGCTGGCCCATGTCTATGATACAGTGCATATGCCAATAAGCAGAGGACGGTTTACCTCATTAGCATGTGTTTTGCTGACAAAGCCTCTGCACCAACAGCTACACTAAGGAGGGTAGTGGGGGGAAAGAATCACACAGTAGCAGCCTCTCTCCCATGAATTCCTCCCTTGAGGCTTTTGAGGTGAGCTGGTCATCACAGTGCACACTCTCCTATCTCAATATTACCATCAGAGCAGAGGAAGTCCTCCAAGGCAGTACATCTGGAAAACATTGCAGTGATGACAACGTGGGATGAGAGAGTCAAAGAGCAGTTGATGTGATGTCCAGTTCCAAGCTGATACCTGGATTTTGCAGACCCTGCTAGAGGTAAATGTACAGTGATAAATTAAGTTGTTTGGTCAAGGAAAGAGTGGACTGGAGAAGCAACCAAAGTGATAAAGCAAAAAATAAGGGAAGTGACCTAGAAAAATAAAAGACAGTGGTTGAAGTACAGCTGTCTGCTTACATCATGCACAACTGGGAATGCAGATCAGACAAGTTACAGAGGTTTTCCAGATCTAGCTAAACACAATTACAACCTCTCTGCCAGTTTGGCCTCAGTACAAATATACCCCACCCCAAGATCTCATTACACTAAGCAAAGCATAGTTTTACAAGTACTCCATTTCTGTAGCCAGCACAAAAGCACAATTCCAATTAAGAAGTACAAGGAACTGTTTATACCAGGCTTCCCTATCCACCACAGCACAGGTCAGTATTATCGTTACAGACCTATTATTACTCTGTTTTCACTGTACTGTACAAATAATATCAAAATATTGTATTATGAATATCCAATTACTATTTAGTTTTTGATACCCAGTATTCATATTCAAAGGACAAATTCAAAGGAACAAAAGAAATGCAAAGGAAAGTAAAACTTTACATGTTACATACATAATCTTGACCACAGTGCTTGAACTTGGGCCTTTAAGTGAGGTACATGAAGAGATGGATTGCAGGACCAATCCCTCTCACCAAAGACAGACAAATGAGTGCAACAGTAAGGAATCATCCTCTCCACATTACAGTTTGCTGACTCTCACTGACTAAGACATTACATAGTGATAAACTTCTTTTAATTTCTATTTAACTTCTAACACATTTCAGGCTGTGAAATATCAAAAAGAAATGTGTAGTAACCAAACCTTTCTCCCCCTAAAAGAGGAAAATACACCTTTAGAGTAATTCAAAGAATGGTTATCTGTAACAGACACTGAAAAAGAAATATTCTTAAGCTACTACGTGTGTGTGTGTGTGCGCTCAGGACACGGACAAGAACAAGTAGGGCCAGTGGTTAAGAGCAGAAACAAGAGCAGGACTTTTCCTATGAAAAGTAGGGAGGAGTATTTGGAAACTTAAAAAAACAACAAAAAAAAAAGAAACAAAAAAGGCATTCTGGA